AAGATTTCAGAACTACATTTGTGCTACTATATTAGGCACCCAATGTGACATTATATCCTCTAGTTTTCTATATAATGAATCAATTATTGTTATAAATTGGTTTGCTAGCATAGATTAGAGGAAACCTAAGGTATATATCATGACATTAAGAAATACAGTTAGTTAAAAAAAAGCCTTGTTGAAACCATTTTTCTATAAAAGAAGAAGTGTTGGTTTGAGATATATTTGATAAGATAGTATTTGATGCTGTGGGCATGTTAGGTAGAATGTATTTGTTTCAGTTAGTTTTTGAGGTAATATTTTGAGCTTGTTCCTATTGGTGTTGAGAGATGTTACATATGGACCATATATCATTGTGAAACCAGTTTAGGAGATTGTTAGATAGGATAATTAAAAATTGTTTAGTTTGTTTGACTGTTCGTGATTTAATATTATTATAAACAGTTGAAGGATAAATGCTAATAATATAATATAAGAAAAGGTTATAGCTGAGATTAGGGTTATTTAGTGCAAATCAAAGAAGGATATTAAGAATTATAATTGGTGGTGTGGTTGTGATTTTAAGAGAAGAAAGTGAGGTAGTAATTATCTCTATTAGAGATTGTTAAAAATTAATGTCGCAGCTGATGCTGAAATTTGCTGATGTGGAAATTTGAACCTATTTTGATATGAAATTTTAAAAAAATTTTGAGATGTTTTTTTACCACTTTTTTTTATAGTTAGGTTAGGATTTAGAGTTAGTATTTATAATTAAAGAGTATATGTGGATTCTAGCAGGTCCTATATATTTTAAATTTGGGACCCCAGATTTCAACATCAGCCAATTTCAGCATTAGCTGCGACAATTAATATTATTGTTTAGGCATAAAAGTAAATGCAGTGCATTTTCTAAATTTGAATAATGAGTACAGTTTGGCATAGGGTATAGGTAAAGATAACGAATATTCAGATTTTCTATAGTTGGAAGGTTATCAGTTAGAATTTTAGTTCTAAAAGTATATTTTAAGAGGTTGTATACTATAGAATTTAAGATATCAAAACATGTTGACCATTCAATTTCTGATAGATCTTTGAAGATTTTGAGTAAAGATTATGAATAGTGTCATGGATATTATCAGTATTCATGTGACTCAGGACAGGTAATGAGTAGTCACCAGGCCAGTGATTAAAAAAGATCGGTCAAATATGTGATGTAATAAATTGATGATTTAATAGTGATAGTGGGTGGTATGATTTTCTCACATAATAAATATAGTTATATTAGAATAATCAATAAGTTGCATGAATGATGTAGTCATAGTTAGGGAAATTGATTGGAGTAATAAATTTAGCAATTAGTGAAAGGGTAGTATAAATAGCGAAAGCAAAAGTAATTAAATACCTTCTCCACAAGAGAACATTATAAAAGCATATCTTGGTGAAATAAACAAATAAACTTTTATTAAATAAATAAATAAATAACATAATAATCTTATCATAATACATATATAATACTTAAATAGAAATCTAATAAACACTAATTTTGCGTCCCTTAACCTCTTTGTACAAAGCTCTATCGCATCCGATTAGATATTTAGAGGGCATACCTACTTCTAATTAACACTGTGACAAAGAAGTACCTAGGCAAATCACCAAGTTTCTCAGTTGAACTCCGTATACATATCAAAGAAAAGTCATTAGTGTAAGAGATTTTAAGTTAGGTTAAATAAAATGACTATAATGGATAAAACCAAACCTTTCTATCATGAAGAAGAAGGAGAAGACGTCAAAGGTTTTTTGCTTGATTATGATGCTTACGCTACGTCCAAGGATTGGAATGATGATTGTAAGAGACAAGTATTAGGCCTATTCGTAGATGACCATTTAAGGCTATGGATAAGGAGCCTAATCAAGAGCAAGACTACCTGGGCAGATTTAAAGAAGGGCATTATTGATACAACATCTGCTACCTATAACATTGATAAAAAGATAAAACGGTTAATGAACATAAAGCAAATAAAAAATGAGTCTGTTACTAATTACACTAACTGATTTGAGGCATATGTTGAACTAGTAAAGAATGAAATACGGAAAAGAGAAAAGAGGTGATGGTATATTGCTGGGCTTAAGGGAGCATTTAAGGAAAAGGTGGAGGAAAAATATACAGAGACATTTAATAAAGTGAAAGAGGGTTTGCAGATTGAAATGTATAATAAGAATATTGAGTATGATGTGAAGAAAGCTACCAAAATATTGTTACAAAAAACACCCCAATCAAATAAAGAGGATGCTAAAATGACTCAACTAACTGAAGTATTCGAAAATCTCAAATTGCGCCATGTGATGAATAGTTCATCAAATGAAATTGAAGAAGTTAAAAACATAGTGAACAAACTCATCAAGACTGTGAACGATGTGACAAGAAGATTGAAGTCACAGAGAAAGTCTGAATCTCGTAAATGTTTTATGTATCAAGAAGTTGGTCACATTTTGCGTAATTGTCCTAATAAGCAAAGAAGAAGGGGTAAGTTAAGCAAAGGAAAAGGAGCAGAGCAAACGGTTGAAAAAACAGATGTACAATTTTCTGAATATGTAAATAATCAAGAAAACCGTCCTGCAAGAAAAATCATAGAAGAAAAAGGTTCAACTGCCAAGAATTGTTTAAAAATTGAGGTTGAGTCAGAACATGGGGAATTCAATATTAGGGCTTTAGGAAAGCACTGATATACTGAGATAAAAGATACTCCTAATAAAAGGGGAAAAACAATTGTTAAACACGATGTATCAATAAAACTACAACCTAAACAAAAAGG